CTCCCCTTGGATGTCCTCTCCTGAAGTGCCCTTCAGGGTGTCATCAGACTTGGGGCCCAGCACCATCCAGGACACTGATGCCGTGTCCTGGCCATGATGACACTGCCCAGGGCACTCTGTCCGAATAAGGCCAACGGTGCATGTGCAATGTGTGAATGTCCACAACTGAGCCCACCCCCCCCCAGACTCCCAACTTGGGGTCCAGAGCTTTCCCCAGCTGCCCACCTCGGCCCCACAGCCCTAGGTGCTGCTGCAGCCAGAAAGGGGCCAGAGGTGACCCAGTCTGTCTGTATGTCCATCAGCATTGTCACCAGAAAGCCCACATCCGCCCTAGCAGCTTCGTGAGTGCAGCTAGTGGAGCTCACTGCTCCTGCGGTGCCCTTGGCATCCAGGCCAGGGAGGAGCCAGCAAGAGCAGGGGGCAGGGGGCTGTTGGCTCTGCCCACCCAGGTGGCAGAAGTCACAGACAGGACACAGCATGCCAGCCAGGGGCTGTTGCCCCACAACTCAGATGGGGAAACTGAGGCACACAGCTAGGGTCACTAACCACTAGATGTCCAGGCCTCTCCGTCCCCATGAGGACCCACGGCAGACACAATGCAGACAGGGCACCAACTTTCGGACTGGCATCTGCAGAACCATTAGGTGTGACTTCCAGAGTTTCAGGACCTTCTGGAACATTCTATGGTACTTTCTGCCACAGGACAAGGCTTGTGAAATGGAAGTCACACCCGGGCACAGAGGCCACAGAATGGAGGAAGCAAGATGGTGGCAGACACGACGCGGTGCTTCCTGTGCCGCACAAGGGTTTTACAAAACTCAAGGCGTTCCTTTTAAAGTCCACATTCCCGCTGTTCCCCGAGACCAAAGGACACCTGCCCAGCTACTCTGCTCTCCCGCAGACGCCAAGCTCCCCGAGCACAGTTGGCATCCAGAACTCCGAGCGTAAGGGACCACAGCCTGGGGCAGAGGAAAAGCGTGGCGCTGAACCTGCACGTGGCCTCTGTCCCAGATGTGTCAGAGCCCGAGGGCTGAGGACTCAGGCAGCCTCAGACCAGGCGCCAGGAGCGTCTGTGGGCCCTGCTCAGCCGACAGCACTCCTGGACCCAAGGCCTAAGACCTTTGCACCTGCTGGCCTGTGTGGGCCACAAGCAGGGCCTGCATCCACAGGGACGCCGGGCAGATGGCCTCTCAGCCCAGGGCAGCCGCTGTGGGCCTGAGGCTGGGGCGGCTCTGCAGAGATCCGCTCTGCTGCAGTGGGATGTGCACTCACAGGGCTGGGGGGGGGGGGTCTGCACAGCACCGTATTCTGCTGGCTGCCCTGGTTCAGTGCCTGCTGTGCAACCCTGAGTGACTCTCCTAAAGTCTCTGGGCCCTCAGTCTCCTTGCCTGGCCAACTGGAACGGCACCCACCTGGAGGCCTCCACAGGAGCCCATCACGGTGTGGGGCACCTATCACGTGGCCTGGCATGAAGATGGCACCAGGAAGCGTCAGAGTGTCAACAGTGACAAGGACACAGTCTTACAGGGCACAAGGCCAGCGATGGTTAGGGCGTGTTGTTTTCACACTAACACAACACCTGCGCACTTTCTAATGCTGATTCCTCCACGGAAGGTGTGGCGTTGTCCACGCGTGTCCACTCATCCAGGCCAACTGAAACTGCTCTGTCCCCAAGCTGTCTGCCCCCGCCAGGGCCAGGATGCAGGCGGACACTGCGCCGCTACACCACGAAAGCAAGATGAGCGGGCCTGGGATCCGGGGCCCGGGGCAGCCAGAAAGGAAGAGGTGTGAACCCCGGCCAGGGGCAGGTGTCAAGCCCCAGAGGCAGCCCGGGTGTGGGGACACATGCCTGTGATTCCAGCACTTGGAGGCTGAGGCAGGAGGACACAGGCTATGTCACCTCTCTGTGCTCGGGGCCCTCCTGTGAGAACAGAGATCACCCAGACCGCGCAGGTTCTGGAGGGTTAAACACAGCGCAGCGTGAGGGGCACAGTGCTGTTACTACACGGCTGCCTGCAGCAGCTCCCAGCCACGGTGCAGCGCCGAGGCCGCCCAGGTCGCCAGGCCAGGGGCTGAGCACAGCCCCAGGGACCATCCTCCGTCAGTGCCTGCGACCCACCAGCCGGACCGGGGGGACAGGTGGCTGTGGGAGACACCTGTGGGAGCCACGGGTCGAAGAAAGCCTCACGGCCAGGCGGGCACCCATCCGCAGTTTTGAATCTGATGCAATTAGGCACCCCACTAACTCCATTACTTATTTACTTACGGGATCGCTTATTTAATTTATGGGCCTCCTTCCCTGAAGAGTCATCTCAGCTGACACCTCTGCCGCAAGGAAAAGTGGGGGAGAGGGAGGGGAGGGGAGGGGTTTCCTACAGGGTCCCAAGCAAAATGCACACAAAGCCACTGCCCTCCACAGGGCAGCGCCACAGAGTAGCCAACAGGACACGGACAGTGCCAGGTGCCAACAGGGATAGGAGCACGTCTCCAGATGCAACACAGAGACACAGAGCGGACACCACCCCAGCACCCGGGCCTGAACACAGGCAAGCCCAAGCTGCTTCCCCAAGCTGCCCGGTGAAGGGACTATGCGGCCATCGACAGACAGATGGACAGCGGGACAGTGTGACAGCAGGGCGGCAGGGAGCCAACTCCTCCCCACACGGGACACAAGAGTCCTTGCCTGGAGTCCCCGGTGAAGGTGGGACACAACGTGCACCGCGACAGTCTCACTGGGCTGCTCCAAGGCTCCAGAGCTGCACCCACAGAGGGGCTGCTGCAAGGGACCGTGTTAGGAGGTCCCCGAGAGCCGAGGGAAGCCCCCCATTGTCATCACAGGAAAACACCCATGCATGGTGCACACCGCCATCTGCTCACTCTGTCTGCAGCGTATTTTTAAGGCAATATTCCCAACACTAGTGGCCAGGAACCATGTCCCACCTGTCAGCCTCGTCTCCGAGCGCTTACCAGCCCTTAAATCTCCCTCAACAGTCCCCAAAAGCCCTACACAAGGGCCAGGTGTGGTAGCACACGCCTATAACCCCACACCAGGAGGCTGGAGCAGGAGGACTGCCAAATTCAAACCCAGCCTTGGCTATGTAGCGAGACCCCGTGTTGAAAAACCAAAATTAAGTGACTCAACAAATAAAGGCCCTGACTCCACAGCACCAGACACCACAGGTGTGGACTGAATCTTGCCAGGCTGGAGGGAAGACGCCTGGCTCCTTGGCCACAATGAGAAAACACCAGCAGCGGGTCCCAGCAGGCACAAGGGGACGTCACTATTGATGACGGGACCTGCCAGGAGCCTCACAGCCCCACCTGAAGCGGCCTGCAAGGCCCAGGACACTGAACTGCTGCCTGCTGACCAAGACAGGGCCCAATTCCCAGGCTGTGCCCAGTGAGGCCATCTTCGAGACCAACAGTGGAGCCCCCTGGGGGAGGGGTTGCCCTGTTGGGATCTTGGTGGGACAAGACATCCTGGAGGTCACAGTCACTGGTACAGAACCAAGGTCACGCCAGGCCCCAGGGACAAGAGGCCAGCAAGAGCAGCAGTCCCAGAAAGGCAAGGACCCAGTGACAGGCAGGGCGGGGGTCGAAGGCCAACTCCCTTGGGCTGTCCAGGGTGGCCCCCACCAGCCCATGAGGAAGGGGGCCAGGCCACAGCGGGAGCCACGCAAGAAGAGTGTCCCTGGGGCCCGATTAGCAGGGCAGCCTCGGGCAGACACGCTCGCTGGGCTCTCAGCCTCCGCCTGCGCAGCAACCACTAACTGCTGTCATCAGAGGTGGCCCTGTGTGGAGGCGGCGGGAGGAGGGCAGCGGCTGCCAGAGACACAGGGACACAGAGGATGCCGGCACAGGATGCCGGAGCAGGACCCCCGGGCAACCACAACCCACCCCACAGCCTTAGAGGCCTCTGTACCGCAGCTACAAGGCTGCCCCACCCCGGCCTCTGCGGGGCCTCTACCGGAGTCCTGGGGGCAATACCCTGAGCCACTGCACCAGGCCAGCATTTGGCCTCCCAGCCACCGTAGCCGCATTCTGCATGGTGAGATGGGGACAGGCCAGGCCTGGGTAGCTGTAGGGATAACCTGGGAGGGCTCCACAGTGTGGAGGGGACAGAGGCCGTGTGGGTTCCCCAGGATGGGCACAGGCTCCTATGCACGGCTCGCTCCCGACCATGTCCCCCACCTGCCTGGATCCCCAGGCTCTAGGCCCCACCAGGTGGTGCAGAAAGGGAGGCTGCAGGAAGCCCCAGGGAGCCACCGGCCCTGGCGGATGGACAGTCCTCACCCCTCCCAGGCTGTCTGCCCCTCCACCCTCAGACTTGATGGATGGCCTGGTGGAGGAAGCTAAGTGTCTGCAGACAAAAAGCCCTTTTATCGTCCCCGGGTGGGCCACTGGCGTGACAAGCAGATAATTCAGGCGGGAGGAAGGCTCCCCATTAGGCGCCACGCGGATTGATGGGGAAGAGATGCAGAGGGGGCGGGGAGGAGGGAGAAGAGGAAGTGGAAGGGCTACAGGAGGAGGAGCAGGAGCAGGAACAGGAGGCAGATGCCCCCAGCAAGGCCACCTGCCTCCCACTTCGAACAGCTGGACAGATGGCGGCAAGGCAGGCACGCCCCAACCTGGCCCCCAACCAGGTACTGGCTGCCCTGCAGTTGGCCAGGTGCTGGAAGCCAGCCTGCAGGGCCATCGCCACCCAGCCCGTGGGGCTCCCTGCCCCAGTGACTCACCTGGAGCCAGGACCCACTTGGAGGCACCCCCCCTTCACACAGCTGCACCCTCGCTGGGACCCTCCCTCTGGTCTGTTCCCCAAGCCCCCACCCTCAGGAAGTCTCTCACCTGGAATGGGGTGCCCATGGGTGCTTCCCCAGGGAGGCCCTCTGCAGCACGCATCCACCCCATGAAGCCCAGCAGAACCCCACACATAGGCCAGGCAGAACCCTGTGCCCCAGGGACTCTAGTCTGGGGAACCCGTAGGGACAAATGGGACCTACCAGACACTGCCACCAGGGAGCCAGGTCCTTGGGGACTGGACACCTGCAGGAGAAAACAGCACCATTACCAGACATCGTGACCTCCCACCACACCAGGCAGAGTCCTATCAGTGTGTCCCGGGACAGTGTCCACTGGGCTGTCCTGCGTGGGGCCAAGATGTCCCTACTACTATGCTAGGTGTGGCACTGCCACTCACTAGACAGAGGCGGTGGCCAAGCTGGGTCAGTCAGAGCCAAGCAGCCCATGCCACACAGGCCCGAGTCACCTGCTCACTACCCTCCCCAGGCCCAGGTGAGCAGGTACATGGGCACTGAGGGGCAAGGGAGTCACCTTCCTCACCTAGGAACCCGAGTCCCCACTGGTGGCCAAAGTGTCTGGTTACGACCCGCACCCCGAGTACAGAGGCAGCCACAGATACGTGAGGGGCCAGATGGCCTGAAGGAAGCAGGCAGCACACAGACCCTTGATGGACACCTCACAAGACGGTGGGCACATGGCCACCATCTGACCTTTCCAGGGTTCCTCTTTCTCCAGGATTCCCCCTGTAGCTGACCTTTAGCTTTTTTTTTTTTTTTTTTGAGACAGGATCTTCTTGCTAGGTGTAGTCTGGCCTTGAGCTGGAGATCCTCCTGCCTCAGTCTCCTGGGTAGTTGGGATTGCAGGCCTGTGCCTCCATGCTAAGCTTGGTCTCTTGCTTTAACCAAGGCACTATTTTGCTGACTGAGCATCTTTCCTTGCCCTGAGGGCCATGTGCCCACCGTCTTGTGAGGTGTCCATCAAGGGTCTGTGTGCTGCCTGCTTCCTTCAGGCCATCTGTGGCTGCCTCTGTACTCGGGGTGCGGGTCGTAACCAGACACTTTGGCCACCAGTGGGGACTCGGGTTCCTAGGTGAGGAAGGTGACTCCCTTGCCCCTCAGTGCCCATGTACCTGCTCACCTGGGCCTGGGGAGGGTAGTGAGCAGGTGACTCGGGCCTGTGTGGCATGGGCTGCTTGGCTCTGCTGGGGTATAGCTTGGTGGTAGAGACCCCAGGATTCAATAATATACCAGGACATGCCTGCCAGGATGGTTAAAAGTAGGCAGAATAGGTCAAGTATAGACAAAAAGCAAAGCAGCTATAACTCTGCCAGGCTGCGGGGTGAACACTCTGGAAAGCAAGCCTGCCACGTGACCCAGCAATTCCCCCCCCCTTAAATTGGGGAGTGCAGAAATGCATCTGTACCCCGGGCCCTTCAGACCATGGCATGGTACCCTGCAGAGGGAGGGTACATCCGGGAAGACACAGCCACTTGGAGGAACAGCCACCACACGGAGTCCAGAGTTCCATTTCCAGGGTTCCTCTTTCTCCAGGATCCCCATGTAGAGACCCACAAGGGTGGTGTAACTATCAACAAGAGTGTAGCCAGGCGTGTGGCACATGCCCAGAGTCCTGGTGGCCAAGAGGCTGAGGCAAGAGGGTCCCCATTAGGTTTAAGGCCAGCCTGAGCTACATGGTCAGACTCATCTCAAAATAAAACAAACAGCATTTCTCACACAGAGCTTAGGGTGCTGTTTGCCTCCAGGTGACCCCGGGGTGTCCCTCCATGATTGATGATCTCTCACCAGGCCACACGCATATGCATATTGTGCGACTTTCCAAATGAACCCAGGGCAAAGTGCTGGACAGAAAGATCCAGCTGGGACTCCGGCAGCTCTGAGCTCTGGGCTCCCATTCAGACACAGAGCAGGGACCCCAGGTCACCTCCAGGACCTGTCCATCACCAGCAGCTCTGTCCTGAGCAGCCTAGAAAGCAGCTCTCGGTCCACCTGGCACTCGACCCCAAGAATCCCAGGCTGCTGGGGCCCAGCTGGGACTGCTGTAGCTGAATGCAGGTCTGCAGCCCATTCCTGGGGTTCCAATCTGCCCCGCTCCTTTCCAGCTGAGCCTCTGTTTCCTCTTTCTGGTAGGAACATGAAGTGCTGGCCCCAGGACGCTGTGACAGGACACTCCCTGCTCTGGGCCTGGTGTGCATCCCAGGCCTTACCCGCCCTCTCTGGGATCTGCCAGCGGACTGCCAGCCAGTCCTCTTGCCTGCCCTCCCAGGCCAACCCAGACCAGGAGCCTGGACCCACAGCTGCAGGCAGCTCCCAGAGAAACAACCCTGCTCATCTTTCCCATCCTGTTTTCCCTTTTGAGCTTTTCTTCTTCCCTGCAATGCCCCCAGGCATGGCACTGCTCCTGCCATCTGCGGCAGCTCGGAGACGGCCCCTGCGGGCAGGAGGGCCGGGCACAACTCCCGGAAGCCTCGGCAGCCAGCCAGCCACCTGCAGGACAGCGTCATGGGCTCTGGAGCCAGGCCTGCTCCTCCTGCCTGCACCCCTAGTCCAGCCAGAGCATGGGGAAGGAAAGGGGGCGTTCAGAGGGAGTGCAGGGAACCCCACAGTGACAGAGCTTCAATCAGCCAAGGAGCAGGTCTCATCTAGGGAACCCAGCTGTGGCCACCCCCCAGGAGAGGCCACGCCCAGCTGTCTGAACAGAGGACCGTTGGGAAGGGATGGGCAGAGGGACTAGCGCAGCCCGCGGCTCTGCGGCTATACGGGGGGGGGGGGGGGGGGCAGGACTCGCTAGAAGTGGGGCGCAGCCCACTGATTACCACACAGGACCTAGAAGATGGAGTTTTCCCTCCAGAGATGTGACCCTCACTTAGGGAGGCTGGCAAGGGGTAAGGACGCGTCAAGTGGTGGAGTAGGGACCTCAGCAGAGGCCATGGCACGGGTCCACGCCAGTGGACATGGGACTCGCGCGCTAGAGGAAGGGCACGTAGCAACATAATCCACGCAGCAGAGGCACAAGGGACTGCCCTGGATGGCCGGGGGAGGGGCGCAGCACCTGAGCGCGAGCTCCACACTCAGCGCAGGCGCACTGGGTCCCTGCCCCTCGCTGCAGGACCCCACCCCGCTCGGCCCCCAGCAGCAGAGGAAGCACTCTCTACTAGAGACCCCTGTGTGGGCCCCGGGGGGGGGGGGGACAGGGACACAGGGACGGGGCTCAGACGCGCAGGGACCTCTCCACGGCCCCGCAAGCCCACACCAGGACTCCCGCCAGCCCCACGCCTCGTCAGCCCCCGGGCCCACCCAGACACTGGCGGGGAGGTGAAGCACACACACCCCAGGGCCATAGCTGGGGTCCACCCCGAGGACTCTGGGCTGACTGAACCAGGCCACCGTCAACCGACAATGGCGACAGCAATGGCGACTGCGCCCCGCTGAGGGCCAGGCGCAGGGACCTGGATGAGGAGGGCCACAGTCACGCTCGTCCACACCTGAACGCTCACAGATGCACCAACAAGGGGGCACGACGACCAGAACAGCGACCGCAGTGACAAAAACCTAGCTGGTCAAGGAAAGTGGCCACGCGATAGCAGGGGGGCCGAGCCCGTGAGAGCACGTGTTAAGGCACGTGGCAGAACCGCAGAGGGAGCTGGGGGCGGAGCCGTGGGTGGGGCCTCAGGAGGGGCGTGGCTGGTGGGGACCTGGGCGGGGCCTCAGAAGGGGCAGGGCTAGCTGGGGTGAGGACTCAGGAGGGGTGGGGTTAGTGTAGGCCTGGGCGGGGCTGCATAAGGGGCGTGGCCAGGGGGAGAAGGGGGAGGCGGGTCGGGGCTGAAGTTGGGGCGGGATTAGTGAGTCTAGGCCGGGACCATGGGGCTTAGGGAACCGAAAGGCAGGGCCAGCAGGGTCGTCTGGGGTTGCATGGTCCTTCGGCCTTCCAGCCCAGCCACAACTCCGGAAAGAGACTACATCCCTTCCCCTGAAGGTTATTGTTTTGCAGTGCCAGGGAAGGAACAGGATTTCCGGGGATCCAGGAACCTCAGACCCTGTGTGACCCACAGACTCAGAGCTGGATAGACTGATCCAGGCCAGGATGCACCACATAGTAGGGGGCATGTCCTCACTCATCAGAGGAGAGAGCCAGCAGCCCAGATAGCTGCAGGGAGTAGTGGAGAGAGAGATGGAGGGGGAAGGAGAGGAAATGAAGGGAAGGAAGGAGGGGGAGGGAGGGGAGAGCGCCCCCACCACACCTCCACTTTGCAGCCACCATGCTGTCCTCAAGTGACAGCCGAGACACCTGCCTAAGTATCCTTGAGGATGCAGTGTCCTCCCAGAGTCCACCAAGATCTCAAGGCCACAGCCTGCAGAAGCCACTGCTGAAAACCAAGACGGTGGCTGGAAGGTGACAGATGAAGCCTTCCCGCAAATCAAGGCCAAGCAGCCAGCAGGTGCAAGGAACTGAGGCAGCACAGTAAGGGGAGGGAGCTAGGACCTGTCACCCATGGGCTCAACACACACTCACAGGAGCAGGCCAGTATCCCCACCCCCAGGGCCACCCGCAAAACTAACCAATGACCTTGCTACCTATGATGACAGTGACCTTCCTGCAGCCTTCTGGCCCAGGCCGCATGCCGTCCTCCTAGCCTGATGGAGTGGGGACCATCCTGACCCCACTCCTGGGACAGAGAAACTGAGGCCCAAGGCCTGCCACCACCACCACCCAAGATCAACAGCCAGGGAGAGTTGAGGAGACTGGACCCCAGCCTGACCGTCCTCAGCCACCATCTTCACTTCACGCCCAACGCGCTTCTCAGAAACCTCAGGCCACCTCCTTGCCACAGAGCATGGGCCACGCCTGGTGGCAGGCACAGTTAAGAAGCCAGGAAGGAACCCTGCTGCCTGCATCTCAGAGGTCAGGGTGGCCTGGCCCCAGGCCAGGCGCAGACAAGACAGGACAGGGTTGGAGAAACAGGCCAGGTGGCCTGGGAGATCCAAGACAGGCTAGAGACTCCCCTGGCCTCCCCAGGGGTTCATTGTGTGGGCATCACACTCAGCCCAGTAATTCATGTGATTGGGAGACACCCTATGATGCCCAGGTGACAGCCACTGACACAGCAACTATGACCAAGACTGGCACCTGGGAAGGGTCAGCAGGGACCCCAGGGAATGTGGAGCAGGGAGCCCCTACACGTCCCCCCCGAAAGGCTTCTTCAGGTTCACCCCCAAGCCATGTGC